ATCCTGGGAGGTCTCCTCAGCAGGGGCCATAGCGCACAGAATTAGGTGACATGCACTGTCTGTTCCATACCCAGGACTGCTCCACTGCCACCTACCCCCGCCCCCCTCTCCCGTTCCACTGCCCCCGGCCCCACTCTCGGCTACTCTGCTCATTGCAGGATCTCACCCCTTCTTGGCCCAAATGCTGTGGCCACTCCCTTTTGTTCTCTGTTGCCTTTGTCAGAGTCTGTGCTTACTTTTTGTATGTGACCTTGTTTCCTTTGACTATAAACCCCTAGTGGGGCAGCCTGTTCTTCCTCAGTGCTTAGTGTGGAACCTCTTATATTGGCAGTTGCTCTGTGAATGTTGGAATGCAGAGCAGGTAGCATGAAACAGCGACAGTCTTTACAGTTTTCAAAAAGCATTTTAAAAATCATAAGAGCCAGGAGTGGTGATCCATGTCTGTAATCCCAGGACTGAGGGAGGTTAAGGCAGGGAGATTGAGAGTTTTACTCCCACCTGGGCAATTTAGTGAGACCCTGTCTCAAAAAATAAAAAGGTCTGGGCCAGGGATTTAGCTCAGTGGTTTCGCTGCCTGCTGTGCAAGCTCAAGGACCCGAATTCGATCCCCGGTACCAAAAAAAATAAAAAAATAAAAAGGTCTGAAGATGTAGCTCAGTAGTAGAGCACCTCTGAGTTCAATCCTCAGTACTGCATCAAAAAAAACCAAAGTGTCAAAAAATCACATAATACAAACATTACCATCTTAACCGTTTTTATGTGCATACTTCAGTAATGTGAAGTATATTCTTATTGAGCTGTGTGTGGTAGTATATGCTTTTAATCCCAAATACTTGGGAGACTGAGGCAGGAGTATCATAAATTCAAGCCCAACCTGGACCCTATCTCAAAATAGAAGGAGGAGGAGGCTGGAGATACAGCTCAGTGATAAGGCTCATGGTCCAATTCTCAGTGTGAAAAAAATAAATATATTATTATTGTGCAATCTCCAGAACTTTTTCATCTTGCAAAACTGAAACTCTGTACCTACTAAATAACTCCTCACTTCTCTATCCCCAAGTCCCTGGCAACTGCCACTCTATTTTCTGTCTTTATAGGTCTATACTACCTATCTCATGTAAGTGGAAGCATTCAGTATTTGCTTCCCCCCCCCCCCCCCCCCCGGGGATTCAACTCAGGACCTTGTGCTTGCGAGGCAGGTATGGTGCCACTGAGCTAAATTCCCAGCTACAGTATTTGTCTTTTTATTTTTGTTTTTAATTTCTTTATTAGTCCATGTTTGCAGTACATAATGATTACATTTATCATGGGGAATTGGTACATGTACATAACACATCCTAATTCTTTTTTCCCCCTACTCCTTTCCTCCCTCCCTACTCCTTCCAATTTTCATTATTTTTTCCCTACAATTCTTTTTTTTCCAACCTCTTTCCCTTCCCTCACTTTCTTCTCCCTCCATCTCTTATTCTACCATTCATTTGAAAAAGATCTCCCTACTTGCTATTTAGCTATTTTCTGTTTTGCTTTTTATTTACATGTGTGTGTATGTTTCTCAAACAAGAGAAACCATTATGAAGTACTTGTCTTTTTGTGGGAGCCTTATTTCACTTAGTGAAATGTTTACATGTCTATCCATGTTGTAGCAAGTGTTGGTGCTTCATAAATAAAATATGAATAAAATCTGTTGTGTTGATAAACCACATTTTGGTTTTTGTTTGTTTGTTTTTGTTTTGTTTTGTTTTTGGTACCAGGGATCGAACTTGGGACCTTGTGCTTGCGAGGCAGGCGGTGGCATCACTGAGCTAAATCCCTGGCCCAAACCACATTTTGTTTATCCATCCATGGTTGGATACCCTGCTTTCTTCCACATTTTAGGCATTATAAATAATGTTGGTGTGAACATGGGTATGAACATCCTTTTCAGATTTTGCTTTCAATTCTTTTGGATATGTACCCAGATGTGGAACTGCTTGATCTCTTTTTTTTTTTTTTGGTACTGGGGATCAAACTCGGGTCCTTGTGCTTGCAAGGCAGGCGGCAGAACCACTGAGCTAAATTCTGTATTTAATGTTTTAGAAGAACCACCAGACTGTTTTCCATAGTAGCTGTACCATTTTTAATTCTCACCAGCAGTATTCAGTGTTCTAGTTTTTTTGCTTCCTCACCAGAACTTTTTTTTTCTTGTACCCATTCCAATGAAAGTGAGGTGGTCTTAAGGGTCTCTTTTTGTGTGTATTGGTCATTTGTGTGTCCTTCTTAAAAAAAAATTTTTTTAAATTTTGGTACTAGGAATCAAACTCAGGACTTTGCAATTGCCAGGCAGGCACAGCTTCACTGACCTAAACCCCCACCCATTTATGTCCTTTTTTTTTTTTTTTTTTTTTGGTACCAGGGATCGAACTCAGGTCCTTCTGCTTGGGAGACAGGTGGCGGAACCACTGAGCTAAATCCCCAGCCCTGTATGTCCTTTTTTGATACAAACCTGTTTCAGTCCTTTGCTCTTGTTTTAATCAGGAGGTTTGGTTTTTGATTGAGTCAGGAGTTCTTTATATATTCTGTTAGTCCTTCATCAGATACTGTGATTTGCAAGTATCTTCTGTTTCAGAAATTAATATTTCCTTTGATGTACAGGAGTTTTTGTTTGATGTAACTTTCAAATAATTACGGATTGCAGGAAGTTGCAAAGCTAGTACAGAGCAGGCCTGTATACCCCTCACCCAGTTTCCTCCAGCAGTTGCATTTTGCATAATTGCAGCTCAATGCTGATCCAGGAGCTTGCCAGTCGTGTGGTACTGGGCTTGCAGCTCCCTGTAAGCCCTCCTTAACAGGTCTGTCCCCCTGGAGATGACCCTTGTGATCCTAAGCCCACTGTAGCCCATTGCTAAGGAGGGAGAACACCTACACCCCTGAGTCTGCTGAGAAAGTGGCAGCAGTTGGGGTAGGTGTGGCCTCTTGGGTTGTCATACTATTACACACCCATCAGCTTTTGCCTGATGGTATATTTCTGAGTCTCCCCACTGCTCCCAGACAGAGTTCACAGGTGGGGACTATTGCACACCTTGTGTCCTCCCAGGCCTGGGGCTTAGGATTTGTCCACCTGAGCATGAGTACTCTCAGATGATCCTGCCTGCCTAGACTAGCAGCTGAACCTTGTAAGTTCAAGGCTTTGTGTGGGCGAATGGATCCTGGAGATGAAACAAAAGACAGTCTGGCAGGGAACAGTCTGGCCCGCCCAGAGGCCTTACAATGGCTCTGTGGCAGAAAGTCCAGAGTGGAGGAATGTATGGGAAGGCTAGGGTGTGCCTGGCCAGGTGACCCTCCTCCCCTGTGAAATGGCTTACATTGGTTCTGCTGCCTTTATTGGTTGTCCTTAACCTGGGACTTGGGGTAGAAGCTACAGCCCAGTCCACAAACCTATGTTCTGGTGAAGTTGGCGATACTTCCTCTGTGCACTAGACATTTACATGAGTGTGAACCTGCACACGTGTGCACAAGAAGAGGAAGGGCAGCTGGCTGAGCACCCTGAGCACCGTGCCCTGGCTCTCATGTCTCCTTACCCCTTACTATTAACTATAGGATAAACGCAGTCAGACAGGGCACTGGAAGGAGTCCTGGCATGTGGCATTTGGCACCCATGTGCATGAGGCTGTGGAGGCTGAAAAGGCACCTGGAAGCTCTCACCCTGCCTTCTGTTCATGTGCAGATGGACAGTCCCCAGTACTGTCTCACCATGGTCTGGAGATAGCAGCTGTGGAAGTCAACCACCTGTGTACAATACCAGTCATTGTGCCTGTGTGGGTCCTGGGGGCCAGGGGTTGGAAGCCCATGGAGTTTGGTAGGGCAAGTGTAGCCCCTGGAGGGCAGTGGGCTGGGAAGGTCAAGGTCTCAAGCTCATTGGGATGTAGTTTAAGGGGCAAACTCTCCAGAGGAGGCAGGAAACATCCTGCTCCCCCAGGCCTTGAAGAGACCTCAGGTTCAGAAGTCTCTCCTGCCGCCCTGGTTCCCTTACCTGTTGGCTGTGTCAAGATCACTACCCACGGGAGGGATGAAAACAATTTGTGCTCTGGACTGCTGGGAGACCTTGGTCTTCTCTCTTTCCCCATCGCAGCCTTCTGACCCTGGTGTGTCTGCTGGGTTTTGTGTCACCAAGAAGCATGGAGGACCCTGGATGAACCTTTGTAAGGGAAGGCTAGTCCTGGGAGCAGTAAGGATATGGGAGACTAGACAGTGGAAATGTCAGTGGCCAGGATGGGGTGGGGGAGATGGCTGTGGGGATGATCTGCTGACTGCTGGGCATGGCCACTGAGTGCTCATTTCTGGGTGCTTTGTTTCCCTCATGGGAACTGCTTGGTTTCTAACACAGACCACAAGTTGCCTGCAGAAGCTGGCCCTTCTCTGCCCTGCCCCAGACAGCATTTTTGCAAAGACTCAAAGTAGTTATAGTTGGAGTAGAACTAATAAGATGATCTCTTTGCATAAGAGAACACTCTGCACAGAAGTCCCCATCCCCTTGCGTTGCTCCTCTCCTTACAGGTGTGAGTCTAGTTAGGAGGGGCTCCTGAGTGGGGTGGGGGCTCACAAAGTCAGAGGAGTATCACAGCAAAGGGTGTGAGTGCTAGCTGTTGTGTACCCTGGGGCTGACTGTCCTATTGGGAAGGCTGGGTCAGCACACTTGAAGCCAGGGGAGGCACAGAAGGGCTGCACTGGATATTACCTTGTAGAGAACCAGTGGTGGATGGGGACAGGCTGAGCTCAGTGTCAGGGAACCCTGGCTAGTTTGGGCATTCTCCAGCTCTTTTTCTTGTATGTGGTATTTGAACAGGAGGATAGAAAGCCTGGGCCTTCTGTCAGTGATGGTTGATCAATGATGGTTGTGGGGGCCCAAGGTCAGGCCTGGGTTCTGGCATTCAGGAAGGCCAGCATGGGGTGGGGAAATGAGAATGGGCAGCACACTCCATTCCTACATCTAGGTGCCATCATGACCTCTCTTCTGCTTTTAGTCACCTCATTCCGAATCTTCCCAAATCGGTCAGATGAGTGGTGTGGAGGTGGATGAGGAGCTCCTGGACCTGGTGAGTGGCAGTGTATCCCCTGCTCCTGTGCCTGCTCCCATGGAGCTGTGTCCTCAAAGAGTTTAGATAGTGAACACCGAGCCAGAGGACAGTAGGAATGGGAAGTGCAGGCCAGGTGGTCCAGTTGGTATGGCCAGTAGACAGCAGGACCCCAGAGACTGAAAACACAAGGAACCTGCTCCAAGGGGTCATGGCCCCTAAGGCTAGGTAGGTGAGCAGCACCCAGATGAGCAGAGATGAACAGAAGTTCTGTTGGGTGGAGAACTGTAGCACAGAGGCCACAAACAGGAGTAAGTGTGATATGAGGGGCCTGGGGGAGGGTCTGGGGCAGATGAGGGTGGGATCTGCCAAGTGAGGAATCCTCAGAGAGTATGAAGGGTGGCCATGTCTTCTGGCCCCAGGATGGACTCTGGTGTCTCCCAGAAGATGACTCTTTTAGTCCCTATGGTGAGTGGGCCCTCTGTCCAGCAGTTGCTGTGGGAACATTTTCTGGGCCCTTTCCCCAAACAGCATTTTGGTTTATTTATTTATTTATTTATTTTTGGTACCGGGGATTGAACTTGGGTCCTTGCGCTTGCACAGCAGGCAGCGAAACCACTGAGCTGAATCCCCGGCCCCCAAACAGCATTTTGTTCCTCCTTAGTGGCATCTGGTTTGATTCTGATTTATTCCTAATGGCAGTGAGACAGTGTCCTGTGCTGTTGGCCATTCATACATTGTCTTTGGAGAACTGCCTGTTCAGGTCCTTGCATTCCCCTCCCCTTTTTTTGCAGAGCTAGGGATTAAACCGAGAGCCTAGCACATTCTAGGCAAGTGTTCCACCACTGGGCTACATCCCTAGCCCATTTTTATTTTTTACTTTGAGGCAGGGTCTCACTAAGTCTCAAAGTTGCTAAGACTGGGCTGGATATTTCGATCCTCTTGCCTCAACCTCCTAGAATGCTGTGATTACAGAGATTTACCACATGTACCACCAGATTGTTTTATAGTACGTGAGTTGCAGGAATTCTTCATATATTCTTTGTTTTTTTGTTTTTGGTACCGGGGATTGAACTCAGGACCTTGCACTTGTGCAGCAGGCGCCAGAACCACTGAGCTAAATCCCCGGCCCCTTTATATATTCTTTACACCAGTACTTTGTCAGATACATGATTTACAAAAACTTTTCTCCTACTCAGTGGATTTTCTTTTTGCTTTTTGGTGGTATTCTCCTTTGATGTACACCTTTTGTTTTGTTTTTTAAAACAGGGTCTTGCTATATAGTTCAGGCTGCATTTAAACTCACTAGGTAGCCCAGGCTGTCCTCAAATTTGTGATCTTCCTGTCTCAGCCTTCCAAGTGCTGGAATTACAGGTGTCCACCACCACACCTGGAAACATTTTTTATTTCGTTAAGTCCTATTTTACTTTTGTTGTTTTGCTTTCACTTTTGGTATCATAATTAAGAAGCTACTGCCTAATCCAGGCTCATCATAATTTACCCATTTTTTTTCTAAGAGTTCAGTAGTTTTAGATCTTTGATCCATTTCATATTAATTTTTTCATATAGTGTGAGGTAAGAGTCCAAGTTCGTTCCCTTCCATGTAGATGTCATTCTACTGACACCATTTGTTGGGAAGACGTTTTCCTTATTTAATTGTCCAGATACTATTGTCAAAAATCAATTACTGGGCCAGGGATTTAGCTCAGTGGTTCTGCCACGTGCCTTGCAAGCACAAGGACCCGAGTTCGATCCCCGGTATATAAAAAAAAGCAATTACCCACTGGGCCAGGGATTTAGCTTAGTGGTGCTGCACCTGCCTCACAAGCAAAAAGAAAAAAAAAATCAATTACCCATAATTATTTGGGATTTATTTCTGAACTCAGTTATTCCATTCATCCAAAAGTCCCTCTTTGTTCTGGCACCTTACTCTCTTGGTTACTTACCTATGTAGTGAATTTTGAAACTGGGAAATATGAGTCTTCCAACTTTGTTTTTTCCTTTTTTCTTTTTGGTACCAGGGATTGAACTTGGGACCTTGTGCTTACAAGGCAGGCGCCGGAACCACTGAGCTCAATCCCCAGCCCACTTGTTGTTCTTTTTCAAGACTGTTTGGCTGTTTAAGGTTTCTTCTGTTTCAATAAATTTTAGGATCAGCTTGTTAGTTTCTTCCCAAAAAGCCAGTGAAAATTTAGATAGAGATTGTATTGAATCCTTCTTTTTTTTTTTTTGAGGCAGGTTCATCTTGCTTTGTAGTTCAGGCTGGCCCTGAACTCACCATATACCCTAGGCTGGCCTTGAACTTGTACCAATCCTCCTGCCTCAGCCTGCAGAGTGGTGGGATTACAGGCTGCATCACCATGCCCGGCTTTAAATCTTACCAGTGGTAATTCTTCTGGTCATTGGACACAGGACATCTCGTTTATTTAGGTCTTCAACTTTTTTCAACAGTGTTCAGTAGTTTTCATTGTACAAGAATTACACTTTTTTGTTAAATTTATTTTGGGAATAAATTTTATTGTATATATTTTATTACTGGGGATTGAACCCACAGCCTTTGCCCTGAGGAATATTTCAGCAATCCCGTTTTATTTGTTTTTTAAAATTTTGAGACAGTGTCTAAGTTGCTGAGTTTCCCAGGCTGGGTTTGAATTTGTAGTGAACCTGTCTCAACCTCCCAGAGTGCTGGGATTACAGGTATGTACCGCTATGTCCTCTTTTTTTTTTTTTTTTTAATTTTTGAGACAGGGTCTTGCTAAGTGCCCAGATTCGCCTTGAACTTGTGGTCCTCCTGCTTGAGTTTAGCGGTATGGACCATTGCACTCTGCTTATATTTTATTTTTACGCTATTATAAATATAATTTTTCTTATTTTTATTTTCAGTTTGCTCGTTGCAAGTTCATAGAAGTACAGTTGGTTTTTGGTTTGTTTTTTTTTTTTGGAACTGGGGATTGAACTTGGGACCTTGCACTTGCAAGGCCGGCAGCGAAACCACTGAGCTAAATCCCTGGCCCCTTACAGTTGGTTTTTGTATCCTGTAGTCTTCCTAAGTGTGTTTATTCTAGTAGTTTTTTGGTGTGTTTGTTAAGGTTTTCTGTGCACAAGATCATGACATCTGCATGTAGAGATAGTCTCACTTCCTCCTTTCCATCCTGAATGCCTTTCTTTCCCTACTCCTTCCTCATTGCCCTGGCTGGATCTTTTGGAATAATGTTGAGTACAAATGGCGGAAGTGAGTGTCCTCATCCTGATCTTAGCCAGAAGTGAGCATCCTCGTCCTGATCTTATGGGGAAAGCTTCTAGTTGCTTGCTGTTGAGCATGATGTTTCCTGTGGGTTTTCATAGGTGCCTCTGTCACATTGAGGAAGCTGTCTTCTTCATCCATCCATCCATGTATCCATGTATTGGTACTAAGGATGGAACTCAGGGCCAGGCATGGTAGGCAAATGCTTTACCCCAGCCCTTTTTATTTTTTATTTTAAGACAGGGTCTCTAAGTTGTCCAGGCTGGGCTCAAATTTGCAATCCTCTCACTTCAGCCTCCTTAGTAGCTGAGATTACAGGGAAGCACCATTGTGCCCAGGGAGGAAACTCTTTTCTGTTCTATTGTGTTGAGTGTTTTTATTATAAAGAGATGTTGGATTTTGTCACATCTTGATGTGTGTCTGCCTGAACAATCCTGTGTGTTTTGTCCTTTATTTTGTTGGTGTGATGTGTTAAGCCAGTTGAGTTTGGAGTATAAACTAACCTAGCATTCCTAGAGTCCACCTTGGTTGTGATATTGTTGTATCCCCTTTGCTCAGCTCTTGTGGTGGATTTTTATGTCTATATTCATGGGAGGCGTTATTCTGCAGCTTTCTTGTGACATCCTGGTCTACCTTTGGTATCAGGATAATGCTGGCCTCTAGGATGAGGTGGGAAGTGGCCCCTTCCTCTCCCCCTTGTACCTCATTTGTAAAGTGTGGGCTCTGTCTTTTCCTTCCACAGGAAGTGGGCCCTCCCCATCCCTTCCCCAAGGAGATCCCTCACAACGAGAAGCTCCTGTCCCTCAAGTATGAGGTAGGCCACCATCTTCCTGCCCCTGGATCCAGGCCCTGCCCTTTCCTCCACCCCCCCGCCCCCAGCACCACTAATTGTGGTCTCTGCCTTCCTTGTCCACAGAGCTTGGATTATGACAACAGTGAAAACCAGCTATTCTTAGAGGAAGAACGACGGATCAACCACACGGTGAGCTGGGCCCTTGGGGGCTTAGTGGCCTGGGCCTTTGTCCTGTTCTCTCCATCTCTCTCCTTACCTGTCCCCAAACCTCTGGCTTCTAGAGGTACTTTTGGTTCCTCAGGTTGTCTGTGGGGCCCTAAGCATGTGACATTGGCCCCAGATACCAGAAACATTGGGAGATTCTGTCATGATCACGGACATTGTGGTTAAAGACTATTCTTGCAGATGTCAGGCATATCCAAAATACCAACAACTGATTGTGAATTTGTTGGGAAAGTCATCCACCTCACTCTGAATTGCCCACTGGGCCCCAAGGTGCTCCATGGTCCTTGAGACATTGGCTGGGGTCTGAGATGCTGGCCATTGGCTGCAACTGGCAGGACTTGGGTCCCTACTGGAGAGCACTATATGTGGTGGCAGTCTTGGGAATCCCAGGAGCCACTCAGGCTGGTCCCACAGTGGCCTACAGCAGGGCATTTGCTAATTATGCCTCTTCCCACAGGCCTTCCGAACAGTGGAGATTAAACGCTGGGTCATATGTGCTCTCATCGGGATCCTCACAGGTCTTGTGGCCTGCTTCATTGACATTGTGGTAGAGAACTTGGCCGGCCTGAAGTACGGGCTCATCAAGGACAGTGTCCTTTACAGCTTCCCAGCCTGGTGGTTGGGAAATGGGGGCCTGCAGGAGATCCCAAGTGTCTGCCATTGTGTGCAGGCCCAGTCCTGCTGTGAGATGTCCTGCTCCCTGAGCCTGGCACAGTAGTAATCCAGTGGAGGGCTGTGTCTCTGTCATAAGTGGTTGAGATGTTTCTGAGCTATCAGGTAATGCTGTGCTGTGTTGGGCAGCTGGGTCAATACTGGTCTGTGCTGGGTCAGCTGCTGCAGAGGTGCGGTGGGGTGGTGAGGGCCTGGGCCCAGGTGGTACCATGCCTGTCCTTGACAAGCCTGCAGATATCGACAAGTTTACAGAGAAGGGTGGACTGTCCTTTTCCCTCCTCTTGTGGGCCACGCTGAACTCTGCCTTCGTGCTCCTTGGCTCCATGATTGTGGCCTTTATAGAGGTACAGCAGGGGTCTCAGCAAATAGATGGGGACTCTTCCAGCTCATCTCCACAAGTGTCCTGGGCTGGTGACCATGAGAATCACAAACATACTAGGGCCTCTTTCCTCCAGACCTCTCATGTGCCACTCCCATCCAGCCATACAAGCCTGTGCCCACCCCTACCCTTCCCCCCATGTCAAACAGGCACACTGCCTGCTTTTATGCTCACATGTAGCAGTATATACCCTAGACACTGACACTGTCTGCGGGGTTCCAGGAGTGGGGCTGACTCACTCAAGCAGAGGATCAGGACTACCGCTTCCGCAGTGGGATCCTGTACCCCCACGGGAGAGGGGGGCTGACGCTGTAGGGCACTTTGCATCCTGGAGTTTTTCCCAGGAGTCACCCCTTCCATAGGCCTCTCTTTGTTCTCTGCCCTTGTCATGGGAAGATAGAAGAAAGGAGAGGCAGAATTCAGAACCTTCTGTTGAGTATAGAGCAGGGCTCCATGCACAGGAAGTTCTGGTTCTTCTTGCTGGTATATGATGAGTGCCCTATCCCATCCTGGAATATCCCCCCAGTTGCCTAGGGGGCATATGTCTTTACCTTGTCATATGTCATATGCCTTGACCACATCCCTCACGATTAACCCTCAGAGGGGGTTCTGTATCTTGGGTGGGGGACATGAGAATGTCTCCCAGACACCAAGCCCTCATACCCAGGCCAGACTCTCCAGGTCTTTCTAGGGATGTGGGGGGTCTGTCTGCTCAGTGGCCCTCCCTGTCCTTCTAGCCAGTTGCTGCCGGCAGTGGGATCCCCCAGATCAAGTGCTTCCTCAACGGGGTGAAGATCCCTCATGTGGTGCGGCTCAAGGTGAGGTGCAGAGCAACCCTAGATGGGACACGTGGTGCTCTTCTGGGTATCTGCTGTTTCTAGGGCACATCTTTTGCCCATTGGCTCCTCCACTTCTGTCCTCAGTCCCTGGTATGCTGGCAGTGGTGCAAACTTTTATATAGGAGTAAACTTTTTTTTTTTGCCTGGAGCCCAGGGCCTTTGCATTGAACTATCTCCCCAGCCCTTTTTTATTTTGAAACAAAATCTCATTTACCCAGGCTGGGCTTGAACTTGGAATCGTCCTGCCTCAGCCTCCCAGAGTGCTGAGATTGATTACAGGGATGTGCTACCATGTCCTGCTTTGCCCTATTTTCAAAATTTTCTTTAATACTCATTATACTTAATGTCATTGGTGGCACCTTAATTTCATGGGGACTGGGAAATTGTGACATAGTCTGCTCACAGCCATTTCTGTCTTCTGAACCAGAGTGGCAGAAGCTGCTGCTTCTCCCTATCTCAGAGGATGGGTAGGCTGCAGCCTCCTGAATGCTCCCAGGCTTGGTGCTCTGCTTTGTCCCCTGGGTGTTTCTAGGCCCAATGTTCCATGGCCAAGAAGGAGCAGTTGGTCATACTCTGGGCAGCTAGAGAACCCTGTGCTTGCTCTTTTTGGTGGTTGGTGGGGGTGTGGTACAGGGGATTGAACCCAAGGCCTTTACACTGAGCTACATCTCCAGCTTTTTTTTTGACACTGGGGATCCAACTCGGGACCTTACGCTTGCGAGGCAGGCGGTGGCACCACTGAACTAAATCCCTGGCATCTCCAGCTTTTTAAAAAATTTATTTTGAGATAGAATCTCACTAAGTTGAAGTTGGGCTCAACTTTCCATCTGCCTGCCTTAGCCTACCAGAATGCTGGGATTACAAGTGTGTATGACGACATGGAGCAGAGCCTGTGCTTTGGCCCTACGTTTGAATAGGGTTGACCTAGTTAGTGCTGCTGGGAATGACATCTGACCTGTTACCTACATACCATGTAGGCAAGCTAGCACATTCTAGAAAGTTTTGCTAAGTACTTTTTGGTGACTGCTTGGCTGGCTGGGTTTGGAAGGCTTCCCTTAGTGTCTTAATTGAGCATGAAGTTCTGTTTCCCAGTGCCACCCTTGATTGTTCAGGGTTTGTGTGCTCCACGGGAGGGGAGGTGGGGGATGTGTGTTGCATGGGTTTCCCACCCTTGCTAGGCCCAGTGACAGAGTCAGCTTTCTGCCTACAAGTGTCATGAGCCCCCAGCAGGTGAGGGAAGTTGCAGTCCCCCAGCCCTCACCTTTTCAGCTACCGGCCTGGTGCAGGGGTGCTGATGCTGAACATACATGCTCAGATGGGGACACAGAGAGGATGTAGCAGGGCAGTGTACCCATGGGATGTATAGGGCAGGACCCCAGGTGGTAGCACTCCTTTTGCTGAGGGAGTGGGGCCCATGTACCAGTCTCAGCTGGGGGAAAAAGGCAGAGACACAGGCTGTGGGACAGGGCACAGCTCATCCTTCTGTGGGGAAGGAGATCTGCACTCACCAGGGCCCACCAAGGACATGCCCTGAGTGTGTGTGGGTGCTATGGCTGCTGTCTTGATGTTAGGGTATGGGAGAGAGCCAGCTGGAAGCCTCTGCCAAGGATACCAGTGTGGCACTGGCCTTCAAGCTCTGGTTCATGTGGCCTTGAGTCATGTCACTGTATATGGTTTAGTCACTTGAATGCACAGAGAACATCTGGTCTTCATTCACCTTTTCCTTTCTGTTCTAGACGCTAGTGATCAAGGTATCTGGTGTGATTCTGTCTGTGGTAGGAGGACTGGCAGTTGGAAAGGTAACAAAATGCCTGTGACGCTGTCCCAGTCTGAGTCCCCATCCATGGTCTCTTAGTGCTGGTCACTCTATGCTTTCAGGAAGGACCAATGATCCACTCCGGATCAGTGATTGCTGCTGGGATCTCCCAGGGAAGATCAACATCACTGAAGCGAGATTTCAAGGTGAGTCTTCCCCAGGTAGAGGTGGACTAGTCGTCTGTGGACATGAGCATCCCCTGGATCTGGGTTCCTGCCCCGTGCACAACCCTCAGCAGGACCCGTGGGCCTCACTCCACACCTCTAGGCTAGGCCAGGGTGAGCCCATCACCTTCTGTACCCAGCGGCAGCCTAGCCTGCCCCCTGACCCATGGGCGTGGGTCCTTTGCTTCAACATGACATGGCCTCTCCATGGCCTGTCCCTTGATTCTGGTGTCATATGTGTTATCTGTCAGAGGGTCTGTGGCTCTGACCAGCTCCTCAGAGGACATTCACCCGAAGAAGGTTGGAACTGTGGGTGGACACTGACACTGATTTTCCAGATACACTTGAGATACTTTTATCTTGTTTCTTCACAAAGTCACCAGTGTTTTGATGAATTTTTGCTTGAATTTGGAGGTGATTAACACTTCTACAGTAGACAGTACTTTTTCAAAATCAAGAGCAAGTATAGAAAGCTGGGTGTGTTGCATGCCTATAATCCGAGCACTCGGAAGGCTGAGGCAGGAGGAATCATCATGAGTTCCAGGCCAGTCTGAACTGCAGAGCCAGACCCTGTGTTGAAAAAAAAAAACAGAAAAGAAAAAGAAAAAAAGAACAAATGTAGATTTTTTAGTTACTTGGTTTTCTTCAGGTCTCTGTGACCTGTGAAGTTGAGTGGCTCTGGTGAATAAAATCTTCTGATTATTTTCTTGGCCATGGGCACTCATGTTCTCAGCCTATGACCTGCTGTAGCCACCTGTAGGATCCTCTTCATGAGACCTGGACTGGACAAGTTCCACACATCTATAGCCAATGATGTAATCATAGAGAAGAGCCCTCCTATTTTAGTATATGTTTTGGCAAAGGGAGCACATCCCTAGCCCTTCTGTTCCTTGGCTGGCCTGCCTTTGACTTCTCTTTTTTTGTTTGTTTTTGTTTTTTGGTACTGTGGATCAAACTCAGGACCTTGCGCTTTCGAGGCAGGCATGGTGCCACTGAGCTAAATCCCTGGCCATGTCTTTGACATCTTTTCCTGTGAGGAGCGCCTCCAAATAGTCTCTGTTTCATCCTGTTTCAGATCTTTGAGTACTTCCGCAGGGACACAGAGAAGCGGGACTTTGTCTCAGCAGGAGCTGCAGCTGGAGTGTCTGCTGCATTTGGAGCCCCTGTGGGTAAGGAGGGGCCAACTCACCTGGGCTGGGCTTTGCCTTTGAGAGCTTCATGCCAGGGAGACTTGCAGTTTGCAGACTAAGTGCCTGTCCGGGTGGGCCAGCAGGATTGGTTAGCATACCTGGGCCTGGCCCTCAAACTCCCGAGAGGCCTTTCTCCTTGTGGCTAGGTCCCATCCCAGTGGCTCCTTGAGCCACAGTCTTGGTCTCTGGGGTCTAGGGTAGGAGGGGGCAGTAGGTGCAGATGCCCTGTGGCTGGATTGGCACTCCAGGCCTCCCGATACCTTCCAGGTGGAGTGCTTTTCAGCCTGGAGGAGGGTGCCTCCTTCTGGAACCAGTTCCTGACGTGGAGGATCGTAAGTGCCTGCCTACACCCCCCAGCCAGGGCTCCTACATCCCCATCCCTGAGATCAGGCAGCACTGACAGCCATCTCCTAGTCACAGTGGACACCTTGAATTCAGCCCACCTGTTCGTGTTGTAGAGCCATGTCCCTCATGGGCCCCTTAGCTCTTCACTCTGTCTTGAGTGTCCTTGTCAGCTTTGGGTAGCTTTTGGGGACCCCAGACCCATAGCTATCCATAGGGCCATGACGCCATCTTTCCCTAGCCATGCAGGGGCCCAGTCTGCTTTGCTCCAGCCCCCTCCCTCCTTGGGTGAGGTGTCTAGACTTAGCTTCCTCAGTGACAGCAGCTCCAGGCCTGGATTTGGACCAGTAGGTGGGCAGGCTCCATTACAGCTCCTGGGTGGCCTCACACATAGCTTCTATCTGAGATACTGACCAATATCTCTCTCTCTCTCTCTCTCTCTATCTCTCTCTCTCTCTCTCTCTCTGTCTCTCTCTCTCTCTGCTGCAGTTCTTTGCTTCCATGATTTCTACTTTCACTCTGAATTTTGTTCTGAGCATTTACCATGGAAATATGTGGGACTTGTCCAGTCCAGGCCTCATCAACTTTGGAAGATTTGACTCAGAGGTAACCAGCCCTCCTGTCCCACCTTGCCCCTTCTGGTGCCAGGACAGGACCCTTTTCTACTTAAGTCAGACTTGAACTTGGTCTTGGGAAAATTCCAGCTCTTGGCTGTGGAATCTAGCTCTTGCTTATAAGCTCCAGGCCCCTGTAGTACTCCAGGAATACATAGGGACCTGCCTCTTGGGGCCAGGGTGACCCATAGTTGTTGTGCAAGCATGGCCACAGGCTGAGTGCCATCTGAGCTATGTGAGCTGTTTCTGAAACCAACCATGCTGAGAGTAGGCTGAGGGCTGCTCAAGATGCCCATTTTCCCTACCCTTGGGACCTCTACAGCCCTGGGTGAAAGTGCTGGAGGGCTCTTTGTGGACAAATCAGGTCATGGGGACCCGTGGACACAGTCACTTACAGCCTTCACTTTCTCCCCTCTACACAGAAAATGGCCTACACCATCCATGAGATTCCCGTCTTCATCGCCATGGGTGTGGTGGGTAAGGGCCCTCTCTTCAGGATGGACTGGATTGCAAACCTGGGTTGGGGAGGACATGCACACTACCCCTTAGAGCTCTTCCACTGCCACAGGCTTTGTGCTGTGTCATTACTTCTCCTCTGGCAGAACCTGGGGTGCAGATAGGTGGGTTCCTGGGAGGTAGAGCAGGCCACAGCTTCTATCGGGTAAGGGTCCCTGATCTGAAATGCTCAGGGTTAGAAGTGGTTCAGTGTTTTGGATTTTTCTATATTTTGGAATAATTGCATGTACATAGTTAAATATTTGGGGGACATCTAGCCACAAAATTCATACGTATCATTTACATCTAGCCTGAAAGTTTTTGGTCTTTGAGGCAAGGTCTTGGTTTTTTGTTTTTGTTTTTTGATTTGTTTGGTTGGTTCGTTTTTTTGAAACAGGGTCTCACTATGTAGTTCAGGCTGGCCTTGAACTCACTATGTAGCCTAGGCTGGCCTCAAACTCGCAGCAATTCTCCTGCCTCAGCCTCCTCAGTGCACCACCACCCCTGGCAGAAGCAGGATCTTCTTAATTACCCTGACTAGGTTCAAACTTATGATCCTTCTGCTTCAGCCTCCAGCTAGAATTACCGGCACATACCACCACGCCTGACCATAATTTTGTATGATGTTTTTAGTGCACTTGCATTTTGCTCTTTTTTTTTTTTTTTTTGGTACCAGGGATCAAACTCACAACCTTGCACTTTCAAGGCAGGTGGAGGAACCACTGAGCTAAATCCCCAGCCCGAAATGAGATTATTGCACTTTGACCTGTCACCATGAGGTCAGGTGTAAAATTTTCCACTTGTGGGTTCTGTTGGTACTCAGAGGTTCAGGTTTTGTATTGTCTGGTTAGGAATGCACAATCTGTGTTACTCTGTAAAAACCCTTTTCCCTAAAAGGAAGACGGTGCCACCAGAGTGAGAGAGGCAGAAGAAGTGTTTCAGCAGGGCCCTGTGCTGAGACTACTTGCTTCTGGGAAGCCTGCAGAGTTGGGGCTTCTGCCTCTCCCGTGTAACTGATACGAGTTTGCTTCATGGTCATAGGTGGCATTCTTGGAGCTGTGTTTAACGCCTTGAATTACTGGCTGACGATGTTTCGAATCAGGTGAAGAAAGGCCTCTGTTTAGTGTTCCATGTTGACAAGTGTGACCACACAGGACCTCTGAAATGGATGCTGTGCTTCATGTTCCACACCCTGGCCAGAGGAGGAGGCTTTGTGTTGACTGGTCCTTCCCTGATGGTTTATATCTGTATATCTGACTGAGCTACTCAGAGCAGAGGAGGCAGGGCCTGCGGCACCTGGGAAGGAGGACAGGCAATCCCTAGGCTGGAGGACCCTTCAGAGAGAATGTGAGGACTCCACACCTGAGGGACAGTGCCCTGGGCAGGAGAGCCAGGGACTGGGTGGGTACAGGATTGGCCTGGCTTAGCCTCTACTAGGAGCTACCAGGAAGCACCATTGTCTACTTTTACGGGGCTTTTTCTTTGTTAGACCCATCTTCTGAAGTGTCCTGGACCTGGGCAAGGATCCTGGGTTGCAGAAGTACTTCTTGATCTTGCACCACTGTGTGGGTTACTATGGGCAGGTAGCGTAGGATGCAGCAGGAATCTTGTCTCATAGCAGAATAGCCAGGGAGATGTTTGCTGCTGGGAAATCTTTTTCACCCAGGGAAGATAACCCCAGCACATCCTGTAGTCTGGGCGGGTTGATCATTAAACATGTGCTGTGTCATTCCACACAGTATCCTGTGATTCAGGTTGTTATGGCAACTGCCTCAGGAGCAGCCAGGGAGTCTGCTCTTCCATCCCTATAGCAAGGTCTGTCCTTGCTTTGGCTCTAGGTACATCCACCGGCCCTGCCTGCAGGTGATCGAGGCCATGCTGGTGGCCGCTGTGACAGCCACTGTTGCCTTTGTGTTGATTTACTCCTCTCGAGACTGCCAGCCCCTGCAGGGGAACTCCATGTCTTACCCTCTTCAGGTAGGCCTGGGGCTCAGGAGGGCAGGGATTACCGTCTTCCCAGAAGGGTGCTCATGGGTATGGACTTCTGAAGCACAGACTTGTGCCCACACAAAACCTTACTTGGTATTTGTCGCAGGTCAATGATAGTTGCCCAATCTGGGAACTGCCCTTGGCTGCACTCATGTAGAGGATGGCATTCAGTCATAGTAAGGACAGAAGCAGTGACCTTAGCAAATCATGAGTGGGCCTTAGAAGCATGACACCCAGTGAGAGAAACCAGTCACAAAGGATGGTGTTATCCATGATTCCAGTGGTGGGATGTCCAGAGCAGGCATCTGTGGAGACAGGAAGCAATGAGTAGTGGCCAGAACTGGGAGTGCAAAGTAGGGAGTGAGGGCTGATAGGGACAGGTATGAACAGATTGTTAGGGCTCATCAGTACCGGGGATTGGCTAGTAGGGCTGTGGTTGATGAGGCCAGCTTTGCTCTGGTCCAGCCCTGCTGAGGCCCCAACACTGCCTATGTCCAAGAGGGCTGGACCTACTGGCTCACAGGGATTGGCATCTGACATTGGTTCTAGGGGTTTGCTCATGAAATAGCTGTTTGTTCCAGACAGCAAGGACAGGTGGGTTGTCTAGCCCAGGGTCCTATTGGCCTGCCCCCAGCAGGGATGGACATACCTCTGCACCCCTGTCTGGACCTGGGCCTGGGCTTTGTGTCCCTTCCCTCCCCTCCCCCACGTCCTGGCATGTATCCTCTGGCCTGGTGCTTTCCTGGCCTAGATGATAGTGTTAGCTCTCCTTGATGGCAACACCAGGTCTATGTTCATAACCCGTGGGCCATCTTCTCTCTAATATGTCCTTTTTCCCAACCTTGCAGCTCTTCTGTGCAGATGGCGAGTACAACTCTATGGCTGCAGCATTTTTCAATACCCCAGAGAAGAGTGTAGTGAGCCTCTTCCATGACCCACCAGGTGTGTACGGGGCATCACTGCTGGCCCATGTGGTGATGCTGGGGAAGCTTCTTGGTCCAGAGGTTGCTGCCCCAGGCTGGAGGGGTATCCCTGGAACACAAGAGGCCAGCTGTCCCAGTGTCGGCTGAGGGGCACTGCAGGAATGCTATGGTCCTGCATGCAAATGGGGACCACGTGCCTAGAGCAAAGCTGGCCAGGTTCCCCATACTACCACCGCCGCCTTCCTTTCTGGGGCTGCCTCCATCTCACCTTCCAGTGGAGGTTACATTGTCAGAAAACCCAGCCTGATGACTCAATGCTACAGCCTCTTCCAACCATACCTTTGACATAAAAAGGGTATGTGGCTGACTATAAAGCCCCCAGCCCTCATTCCATGCAGTCAGATTGGCTCTGGAGCTCTTGTTCACCTGGGGACTTTCTTTTTTCTTCTCTACGCTTCTCTTTCCTTTCCCTTTATTTTTTTTTCTTTTTCTTTCTTTTTTTTTTTTTTTGTACTGGGAATCAAACTCAGAACCTTGCACTTGCCAGGCAGGTGTAGCGCCATCGAGCTAAATTCCTGGCCCCCCTTTTTTCTTTCTTTCTCTGTTTTTTGTTTTTTTTTTTTTTTTGAGATAGGGTCTCACTATTATAGTTCTGGCTGGCCTTGAATTCACTATGGAACTCAGGCTGGCCTCAAACTCACAGTGATCCTCTTGCCTCAGCCTACTGAAGGCTGGGATTACAGGCATGCACACCGCTATGCTCCATCCCCTTCTCTTTATTTTTTATTTTGAGACAGGGTCTCACTAAGTTGCCCAGGCTGGGCTCAAACTTGTGATCCTCCCGCTTTGGCCTTCCAGTCACCAAACCCACCTTGACTATTGTATTTGTTTCCTGTCATGAGGGTGTTAAGGACTTCCATGTCCTTAGCTCTATGTCTGTGAGAGGGGTTGGTTCATGAGATTTAACTGAAACCATTTTAAGGGTGAGGTGAGGTGGCCTGAATCCTGTCTGAAGTGACTGATGCTTGGCAGGCCCCAGTACCCTGCATGTGTAGGCAGCTTCTACCTCTGGACATGTCTCCTGGCTGCAGTCACTTAGCATGTGATGAGTGGGTGGCCTTCTGTATGTGACTTCTCCCCTTCCTGACCCTGAAATCTATGCCATGGTGATCTCAGTACACAAACCAATACCTGTTGCCGGCTTCCACACTCTGGCCACCATGGACTTCCACTCTCCACATGGCCTCAGTTCACAATCCAACCTCTCAGCAGAGGTCTGGGAAGAACAAACCCCCAGGTCTTGGAGCTTGGCTGGAGAACTCATGGTGGCCAGGAGCAGGTCTCCTGGGTCCTGCACCTTTCCCAGATGTGTCCTCTCCATGTCCTGCGACCTCAGCCCAACCGGACAAGTCTCAGTTGCCCACCTCCACAAAAGGGCATTTTCCATGGGTTACTAACCACCTCGGACCATGGGAACCAACCTGGGAAGCTCCAGCTTGAGGGAAGGCCTATCCCCATTCAATTGGTTGACCTGAGGCTGGGCTATCAAGTCCTACAGAGCTAAGAGCTTGGCTCCTGCCTCCAGGGGTATGCACCCCAATTCCCAGGTGGAATTCCAGGCAAGGCTCTAAGGTAGTGGTACCTGAATTGAACAGCTGTCCAACTGCTGGAATGAAATGCCTGATATAAACAATTTAAAGGAGGAAAAAATTCATTTGGCTCGTGGTTTTAGAGGTTTCAGCCCATGGTTAGCTGTTTTCATTTCTTTTTTTTTGGAACTGGGGTTCAAATTCAGGACCTTGCGCTTGCCAGGCAGGCGCAGCACCACTGAGCTACATCCTTTGCCCTGGTTTCATTTTTGTGAGTCAGAGGTGAGGCAGAACACCATGGTGGCATGGTGTAGGGGAGCAAAGCTGTGCAATCCATGGTGGTGGGAAGCAGAGGAGAGTGGAAAAGTGTTAGATACCCCAGTGACCCACCTCTTCCAGTTGCTCCCCATCTTCTAATAGCTCCACTGAGGAGTATGGTGACCCAATAATCCAGTCACCTCTCCAGGAGTCTCAATCCAGTCAAGTTGACAGTTAAGGTGAACAGGGACCTTCTAATGAGTTTAGATGTGTCACTAGCATTGGCCCTAGACCACCCCCACCCTTGACACCTGCACTGCCAGCATGAGGCTGCCCTCTGCACAGCTTCCCCTTCCTTTCCCTGAGGAGGCTGAGGCTATGGAGCCATTGGTAGATCAGGGCTCAGGTGACCTGATTCCTAAGATGTGACCTCTGAGGCCAAATGGGACAGCCCTGCATGGGCATGAGTCTAGCAGGCACACCAGTAGCTTTGCTTTCCCCTAGGCTCCTACAACCCCATGACCCTGGGCCTATTCACCCTGGTTTACTTCTTCCTGGCCTGTTGGACCTACGGGCTCACTGTGTCTGCTGGTGTTTTCATCCCATCCCTACTCATCGGGGCCGCCTGGGGCCGGCTTTTTGGCATCTCCCTGTCCTACCTCACAGGAGCAGCAGTAAGTGGGGAGCTGGAGGGAGGAGGCTGGAGCCCCATGGTTTGACCGGTCACCATGATCCCCCATCCAGTGGCCATGCTCATGGGAGCAGGGTGTCAAAGACATGGGGGGTGGGCACTGGTGTTATTAGTAAGATAATATAATTTTTAAAAATGTGAGAAGCACTTTGGGCCATTTAGACTTGGCCAGGACCTGCTGTCCAGGGGCCCATGCCCTGGCGTTGGGCCTGGACCACTCCTGCCTTGACACCTATACTACCAGCATGAGGGCTGCCCACAACACCAGGCCTACCCAGGATGGCAGCTTCTCCAGCCTTCCCTCCTCTCTCTGGCCTCTGTGAGGACTTGTTTTTATTTTGTCTATTTTCCTTTTTTCACTTCTGTCATCAAACAGGACTGAAAAATTATGAAAGGAGCACAGGGGCTAGGGATGTGGCTCAGTGGAAGAGTACTCACCTGGTGTGCCTGAGGCCCTAGGTTCATCCCTAGCAAAACCAGGAAAAGAGGCATATCAGGAAGCACCCCCACCCCACCGCGCCCTGCGTGGTGTGTGTCCAGACACAGTTTTTTTTTTTTTTTGGTACCCGGGCTCGAACTCAGGTCCTTGGGCTTTCAAAGCAGGCAGCAGAACCATTGAGCTAAATCCCCGGCCCCAGACACAGTATTGATCCAGAAAGGACCCATGTACCCATTAGCAGTCTCCCCATTGCCCTCCTCCCCATTTTGTTTTGCCCTCTGCTGGTCTGCATGTTCTCTCTAGATTTTCCCAAGACTGTTTGCAAGGCTTATCCCTGTCCTGGCATGTGTTGGAATCTCCTCACAGTCGGCGGTCTGAGTGTGTCCACACAGATAGTGTGCTCTGTGTACACTTGTGCTTAGCTTTCCTCACAGCATGCACTTTTCACAGTACCTCCTTGATGCAGAGAGCACAGCCTCGTATTCTGAGTTCTTTGGTGTATACAGTGGGGCATGGTTCATTTACTCTCCAAGTAAGGCACACCTACATTGTTTCCATACCTTGGTTGTAGCACATGGTAAAATTTAGGATCTTTTGTACATAAGTCAGGGGATTCAGGCCTGTGTGTGGGATTGCTTGGCCTGGACCTGACCGTCCTACCTGGTGTATCTTGGTGGGTTTGGCAGGGGTCTGCCACCTTACTGACGTTCCCCATGTTGCCCCCTGCAGATCTGGGCAGACCCTGGCAAATATGCCCTGATGGGAGCTGCTGCCCAGCTCGGTGAGTCCTAGCTCTGGCCTTGGTGGTGAGTGGGCTTTGCAAGTCAGGAAGAGAACTATCTTGTCACCCCAGTGGTGGACGCAGCCAAGGCCGGCCTTGAATGGGAGAGTCAGTTCATTTAAATGAGCAACATGGAACCAAGCATAGTGGTGTACTCCTCTGATCCAGCACTCTGGGAGGCTGAGGCAGGGAATATTCCAAGTTTGAGCCTATCCCGGGGAACTTAGCAACTTAGCAAGACCTTGTCTCAAAATTGGAAAAAAAAGAACTAAGGACATAGGTCAGTGCCAAGGCCCAGGGTTCAATTCCCAGTGCTGCACAGACAGTGGGCCTAAGGTAGATATGGTCCTCATCCCCGATGGAATGGCCACATGACATCAGTCAGGACAGGGAGTCACTGTCCCCACAGCTGGTGCCTGAAGGGGCAAGTAGGCAGCCATGGTGCTGCATAGAGAATGTGGACACACTACATGGAAGGGACAGGGCTCACGACCACTCCCACAGGTGGCATTGTGAGGATGACCCTGAGCCTGACAGTCATCATGATGGAAGCCACAAGCAATGTGACCTATGGCTTCCCCATCATGCTGGTGCTGATGACTGCCAAGATCGTGGGCGATGCCTTCATTGAGGTACACAGAGTGGGAGGCCTGCTTACCCTCCCCACCCCACCCCACGTCCTGGCCTTGGATCCTGACACTGGGTTGTGGGGCCTGCAGCAGCTGCAGAGGGGAGGGAGTCCCTGCAAAGTCAACACTAAATGACCTCCTTGGGTGGGGCAGGTACAGTGTATCTTGGGCTGTCCCTTACGGATCCCTAGGGGGAACCCTGGGTGGCACTGTGCCTCTTGGTGCCTCCCCCCAGGGTCTGTATGACATGCACATCCAGCTACAGAGTGTGCCCTTCCTGCACTGGGAGGCCCCCGTCACCTCACACTCGCTCACTGCCAGGTATGGCCACCCTGCCTCCTGCCCCACTGGGTGGGGGGTAAGTGGTAAGATATAGGGAGGGGTTTACTGCCAGGCTGTCAGGCTCCCATGGCCAATCCACAGCTGGCTACTGGTATAGAGGGTCCTTAGTTCCCAGTTTCCTAGTCCAGCAGCTTTGTGCCTGTTGAATGTCAATGTGGTACAGGAATGGGGTATTGAGGAAGAGCCTTGCTGTGCCTGGTGAACAACTGTCTGTGTTGGTGACTGTGTACTGGTATCTCCTCAGGGAGGTGATGAGCACTCCGGTGACATGCCTAAGGAGAAGAGAGAAGGTTGGTGTCATTGTGGATGTCCTCAGCAACACAGCATCCAACCACAATGGCTTCCCTGTGGTGGAGGACTCAGATGACACCCAGGTACCAGTGGCCCTCCCTGCAGACCTGAGGTCCCTTCCTCTGTGGTCTGTGGTTGGGAAGCATGTTGTGCAGTTTGTGTGAATGTGGCAGCCCCACATTTAGGTGCAGAGTGAAATCCCACTAGTGAAACAGCTGTGCCCACAGCTGTGCCTCCATACTGGCCATGGCAGAGCTGCCATGCACTATATACATCCTGTACTCATAATCAGGCTCATAATCAGCAGCTGTCTCCTTTGTGGCTGTGACCTCTATCAGCAGATGCTGGTAGAACATAAGCCCAGCTACCACTGTGTCCCCTCACCTGGGTCCCATCCTGCTGGGACCATTAGATGTTATCACCGGTGGTTTGGGTTGATTTGGGGGCTATACCCAGGGCTGTGTCTTATCACCAGCAGGTGCCCCATCTTGGCACCACGCTGTCCCTGCTCAGGTCCTCCAGAGGTTAATGAGTTATGCACTTCAGGTATCCATAGCAAGGTCAGCACTCGAAGGTGACCATGGCTGGGGCTGGATGTAGCCAGAAGGGCAGCCATGGTCTGGGGCTGCTGCCCAAAGGCTGGCTCTGACCCCTACTTCTCTTACAGCCAGCCCGGCTCCAGGGTTTGATTCTGCGCTCCCAGATCATCGTGCTCTTGAAGCACAAGGTACACAGCCAACTGGCAGGGGGTGGAGAAACAGGGGAGAGCAGGGGGAGCTCCATGGAGCCTAACCATTGGCCCCTGCAGGTGTTTGTTTGGTTTTTTTTTTTTTTTTTTGGGTACTGGGGATCGAACTCAGGTCCTTGCACTTTCGAGGCAGGCGTCAGAACCACTGAGTTAAATCCCCGGCCTGTCCCCTGCAGGTGTTTGTGGAGAGATCCAACATGGGCCTGGTGCAACGGCGGCTGCGGCTAAAGGACTTTCGTGATGCCTACCCACGCTTCCCCCCAATCCAGTCCATCCATGTGTCACAGGATGAGCGCGAGTGCACCATGGACCTCTCCGAGTTTATGAACCCCTCCCCCTACACTGTGCCCCAGGTGTGTGGGCAGGGCCATGTGGTCAGAATGTGAGTGGGTAGCCTGGGAGGGGGCTATCCAATGGGCTAGGTATTGACAGCCATTGAAGCTCTGCAACAGCACACTGGGGCCCAGTCAGGCAGGGGTGGATAGGCATGGAGGGGAAGGGACAGCTCAGGATACGTACTAATATCCTGAAGCCAGGAAATGTGCCAGAGTCTGGTGTCTGGTCCCTGGGTAGTGGCTGAGGGTGTGCCCACTTTGCAGGAGGCCTCCCTCCCTCGAGTGTTCAAACTGTTCCGGGCTCTGGGCCTGCGGCATCTGATGGTAGTGGACAACTGCAATCAGGTGAGGCCAGTAATCTGTGTCATTCATGGGGAACCCTGTACCAGACCTCCTAAGGGCCCCCTTTTCCCCAGCAAGGTGGGGGTGAGGCGCTCCCATAGGCAGATGGGACACTGACCCTGTGGAGGCTCTGACACAATGTTGTCCTGCAGGTGGTGGGGCTGGTGACCAGGAAGGACCTGGCCAGGTACCGCCTGGGGAAAGGAGGCCTGGAGGAGCTCTCACTGGCCCAGACGTGAGGTGCAGCCCTTTCCTTGGTGGGCAGTGGCACCCCTGGTCCCTTTGCGCCTCCCCCTGGGCTTCCTGGTCTCAGCCAAAGGCTTGCTCCCTGGACAGCGTGGTGGCTGGAACAAATGTCCTCCAGAGTGGGCCTGGTGGCGTGGACTTGACTCTCATCATGGACAGTTGGTTTGCATCCTCTGTACTCCCCTCTGGCCCTAAGGCCTCACCACTCCCCTTTAGGGATTTGATCAAATATGTGTGCAGACACAACCCCCACCCTCTGATGCTCATTACTTCAGAGCAAGAGGGCCCAGTGTATGTGACAGGTGAGCTGTGCCTACTTCTGTGTGGTTTCCCATAGGTACCTGCCCTTCTAGGCCACACTTGCCTGCACCACTAGCTGTTCCTTCTCAGCCACAGGCCCTGTCTCATCTTCCTCTGGGCATCAACAGCCTGAGCTTCCTGGGCCTGAGCTATGGCTTCAGCTGGACCCCAGCAGTCAGGGCCTGCAGCTGACTCCATGGAGCCCCACATGGGCAAGACTGTGCCCAGAGGATATGTGAAATGTGCTCTCTGCCAAGGTCTCAAGAGCTGAGGATCACCTGAGTACCTAACATCCGATTCTGCCACACCTTGGGCCTTCTGGAGCTGGGCTCACTATTCCTATGAACAGCAGTTGGGAAAGTGGGGTTCTCCATACCTGAGAAGCTGTGACTTCCCTTCTGACTATAGTAACCACAAAATGCAAACTTCACTGGAGGTACTCTCTCTGTTGGCCTCACAGGATGCCTGGGTCCAGATCTGGGTAGCTCTGGACAGCCTAGTGAGCACGGGACCCAGGAATCCCCACCTGCCCACCACACAGCTTGTCAGAGCTCCTCCTGGCTGGGCCAGGCTAGATCTGGTGTACCTTGGTCACCACAGGCCCCTTCTTATGGGACTCATTGTGGGACACTGCTGTCACACAGCCACACAGGACCTCCTGTGGAGGCTGGCAGATGTGACCAACAATCCCACCTCCTAGGACACTGCCCCTGCTCTGCTGCCATGGGGATGTAGGCCTGAGTGCACTGGATCCTGGGTATAAGAAATAAAGGACTTGAGCACAGCCAACCAGTGCAGTCTCCTGGTTCCACCCAGCCTTGGATGCGGGTCTGAGACTTGGGGGCTGATTGGATGGTAGTGGCTGTATAGGATTGGGCCTTCTGTGAACAGTTGCTGCTCTTGGTGGCAGTACCCCCAAACAGCCATGCCATCCACAGGCCCTGCAGGAGGGAAGTTCAGGGCAGGTCTGATACCCTCACCTGACCCCCAACCCTGTCCCCATCCCAATCCCTCTCTCCATAGCTTCACTGCTTCCCAGTGTCTGCTGCCTCTGGTCTCTAGATCACATGTCCCCAAGCCTAGGCATCCCAAGATGCCGGGCTTTGTCTGTCCAGGCTCTGCATGACCCCATCTCATACCTGACTCACCCACCTGTCTGGCTTCCCTTCCCTGTCACTGCCCATCATGGCTCTGCTCTTCCACCTGGCCCCTCTTTCTAGTTTTCTATTTTCTAGTCTCCACTGACCACCCCCAACAGATTGGTTGTTAACAGATAACATCCTGAGGAGAGGCTGCTCTCCTGCTGGTGCAGTCAGTTGTCGGGACTGATGGTTCCTCACAGCCTGACCTGGTATTCATGGGGTGTGCTGGGATGAGGGATGGGTGAAGCCTGTGTCCGCTTGGAGCAGCCCTGGTTAAGTGCAGGTTCCCCTTGTATATGACCAGATCTCGATTATCTTACTGCTGTTTTCCTAGGTGCTCTGGTGGGGCAGGCTTGTGTCAGGTTGGACCAAAGGGCATGAAAAACTACCAGACCTCAAAGACACAGTACCAAAAAAGCATGTACAATCCCTGTTTCACAGTTGTTTTGTATTGATTACATATTGAAAGGATATTTTGGATCTATTAGACTAAATAAAACAATCAGAATTCACTTCCCATCCCTCTGACTCTGTGAGTATGGATGGCTGCCTAGAATGGGGAGTCCTCTTGCAGCATCTGTTTTCAGATGGCTGCTGCCCTTAGCCCCCTGGGGCCTGCTCTGGGGTGCAGGGCCAGGTGTGGTTGTTCTGTCTCAGGCTCTTGTCCTCCTGTGCTTACCTGAGCCAGTCCCCTCCCCTGAAGGAAGATCTTTGCAGGAGGCATTGCTCTGTACCACAGAACCTTCCAGGAATGGCAGTTGGGGAAGTTGTTCAGGGTAGGTGAGGGCTCAGGTTTCACTGGCAGTTGGGCTGTGAAGTCACAAGGTTCTGGTGAGGAAAGGAAGGTTCCAGAATAGCCGTACTGCTCAACTGTGCCTACCTCCCAGGGAAAGAAACGATGTGAGAGCAGGAACTCATCACCTCACTCACACTCCCAGACCCCACAGCCTTCCAACCCAATTTCCTCACCACTTTCCAGCACGACCCCCAGTTGCCCTGGCCTGGTGTTCAGCTTTGGCTACTGGGGCACTGGGACCAGGCTAAAGCCACAGATGAGGGCTGCTGGTGAAGCCATGTCAGGTGAGCTAGAAGCCCACGGGGCTGGAGCTACAGGGGAGAGCCACAGGAGACAAATGCTAATTGACCCCCATAAGCCCCTGCTGAAGCTAGCTAGATGAAAGTACTGTCCTGTTTTCTGCTGCCCAGTGCTGTATGTCCTCAGGCAGGGCCCTGGACCTCTCTGATCCAAGACCCTACCAGGACAATGGTTTATGACTCAGGGTGGTTGACAAGTGTCACTGCCATGATTTGGGTCCTTATTACAAGCCTCAGCTGGAGCCACTGCCTTGAGGGCTGAGCTCCCAAGGCATTCTTCCAGAGCTGGCTGACAGCCCCTTGTCAGGGATGTCGCCTCCTTCACAACCCAGCACTGTCACCCTGGAGGACCTAGAACTGCTCCTGGTAGAAGGTTTGGCCAGCCCTAAGCCCTCGAGTCAGGAAGAGAACTCAGAGAGGAATGAGTCCAGCCCTTTGGCATCCAGCTCCCCTGCCCCCCAGCAGGATAATTCCAAGCACTTGAAGGAGTGGTAAGCCTGAAGGGTACAGAGCAGGAGGGCTGTGGAGGCCACATCCCCTCTTGAGTGGGCCCAGCCTGAATGGCTTACTCTGGTCCTGACCAGGATGGCCAAGTTGCAGGCTGAGGTGGCGTCCCTGCGGGGACACAAGGTACACTGTGAGCAGGCTTCTCTGAGCCTGCTGAAGGAGCTGCTACAGGTTCGTGGGCACATGCAGCTACAGTCCTCAGAGCTCTGGCAGCTGGGGCAAGAGATGCAGCATGTGGCTCAGGTCCCTGAGAAGGAAGTGAAGGTGGTGAGCCCTCAACCCACAGAACAGACTTCCTTCCCTGGGAGTTGGGGCCACTGCCTTCTGGACCCTCATCCTGCCTCCCATGCCCCTGTCTGTGCTGGAGAGATGCGGGGTAGGTGGCAGATGCAGCCTGCCCAGCCCCACACCCTCCTCCTTACAGTTACCTGGAGCCCAGAACCAGAACCTGATGCAGATCCTGGACAAAAGGCACCTCCCCACACACCATGGGCATAGACTTCAGAGAAAGGAAAGGGAGTGGGACCATGCTGTTGCCTAGACACTGGTCTCTGGTTTCTGGTCCAATTGCAGAAGGCTGAGTCTGACTCTGGGAGGTGGCAGAGGACTGGCTGCAAGGCTGTAGGCCCCCACACACAGCCCCAGAGGCCACCTATCCTGCCCTAGCTAGAACAGCAGTTTTTGTGTACCAGGCTGGTGGAGGTTCGAGAAGCCTTGGCTCAGATCAGGAGGAGACAGGCACTGCAGGATACAGAGCGGAAAGGCTCTGAGCAAGAGGCCAACCTCAGGTGGGTTGGCTCTGCACCCACCTGCAGGTTCCCAGGGGTCACAACCCTGTGCTGCAGCAATACGAACAGGGTATTCCCTACCCTCAGTGTTGAGCTGCTGGCTGCTGGGGGGCCTCAGACCTGCTACAGTCCCTCTTGACTCCATGGTCTGTCTCTGCTCCTCCTGGGCAGTAGTTTACCCTGAAGAGGACTGTGTCCCATGGCCTGGCCAGTCTCCCTGTGGCTACCTAGCTTCGGTTTCCAGGCAGCTGAGCTGGTGTCACCCCACCGCTGCCCTTAGGCTGGCGAAGCTGACCGGGTGGTTGAGGCAGGAAGAACAGACCCAGGAGGCAGCCTGCAGCACCTTGCAGAAGAGCCAGGAGGACACCAGCCAGAAGGTGGACCATGAGATGGCCAAGATGCAGGTACCACTTGACAGACAGGGCCAACTCAGGCAGGGGTCACCAACAGAGTATGTGAGGAGACCCCCATGTCTCCGGCCCGTGCCTTTGCCATAAGTGCTGGTCTCTGCAGCTGGATTTGCCTATGGGTGGGAAATGGGGAGGATCTTGGTCTTTCCCTATTCAGTGTGGTGGCCTCTCACCATAGTGGCACTGCCCATTGACATTACCTACAATTTTAGATAATTTATAACTCTTGGCTACATTATCCACATTTCAGTGCTCAGCAGCAACATGGCTGGTGGCCACATGGTTTTTGGAAGCGGTTCTTCATCACAGAAGGCTGTGGCCAGGCTGCTGGCTCTTTCTCTCCTGGGTACAAGTTCAGGAGAGAGAGTGGTAGAGCACTAGACCTCTTCCCGTGGCCATTCTCAGCCTCAATGTTTCCATCTGCAGGAAGTGAGAATTGCAAATTCCCAGGGCCTAGTTTTCCTTCAACAGTGACCTTTCTATGGAGTGGGGTGGGAGACAGAACCACCATATATCCCCATGACTCAGCTCCTCAGCTCTGTAAACAGTCTGACATTCTGTTGCACATCCAGGCTCCTCACAGGGCAAGGTGCAGGGTGGTGGGGGCCCAGCTGCCCCCATTGTTCTGCAGCTTGGAGTTGACCAGCTCCTCTTTCACTGCCAGGTGGAAAGTTAATGAATTGGCTCTGTGGGGAGGGCAGAGTCATTGGGCTGAAGGTTCCCAACATCCTGGGTACTGGGGAAGCTGCACCATGTGAGCACTTTGCCTGCTCTTGAGCAGAGTGAGGACTGTCCATGGCCATCTGCTGTAGGCTGTGGCAGGTCTGCCAGCCCCAGCTAGGGCCTGTGTAATTGGGGCTGATGGGAGAAGAGCCCTGTGCTAGGTGTCAGACACCTAGGCCCTGTGAAACAGATAGACTGAGAGCTGGCTGTCCCCTCTGGTTCCTCTCTTAGCACCTTCAGACTTATAGAGTAGCAAGAGAACACGCATGGGAGGAACCAGGGCTGCCCACAATAGGGCATGTGCACAGGGGTGTTCTTATTCATGTAAGTGAGGGTGTAAACAAATTCACATCCACTTCCCTGCCTGAGTCTCCAACCTGGGTTGGATGTGGTGGTCACTGCAGCCCCCTGGCTGCACCTCAGGGTCTTGATGGTACTGAGCATGTCTGGACCCATGTAAGCTTGGCCTTCAGACCCTTCATGACCCATGAGTCTGGTCCTTCGGGGGACAGCAGCTCCAGTCCACTCTGCCTACCTTCCTGCCCAGAGTGAGGTGAGCCCAACTTAGCTGAGCTAAGAGACCATAGAGGAGACATGACTCAACCTCAAGGACACCAAGAGGGGCAGGCAAGGTTTCTAATGGGCAGGCTGGCAGTGACTGTGTGACCCTTCACCAGGCCCAGCTGATCAAGCTTGGGGAGGAGATGAGCCTCCGCTTCCTGAAGAGGGAGGCCAAGTTATGCAGCTTCCTACAGAAGAGCTTCCTGGCCCTGGAGCAGGTGGGGCCCATAGCATGCTCAATCTTGCTGTTTGTGGCACTGGTACAGCTGGGCAGAGTGCAGACTCAAAACCAATGGCCATGTCCCCACAGAGAATGAAGGCCTTGGAAGGCACACGGCTGGAGACAGAGAGCAGCCTGCGGGAGGAGCTGGAGGACCATTGGCAGAGGCTGCAGGAGCTGACTGAGGAGCGTGTGTGGGCCCTGTGGGCACAGCGTGAGGTAGGCCGTGGGTGCTGGGTGGGAAGGTGGAGCCAGGGTGGGCAGGGAGGCTCAAGGCTGGCTCCCAGCAGCAAGAGGAAGAGGGCTGCCTGCGGGAACAGTGCTGGGGTCTGGATGCGGCTATGGTTCGGCTCACCAAGTTTGTGCGGCAGAACCAGATGTCACTGACCTATATCCTGCTGATGGAGCAAAAGGCCCGGTATGTATCCTAAGGCCTTAGGGAGCTATGGGCTGGGTGGAATATGCAATCTCTCATCTAGGTACTGACCACAGGGGCCCCCCTCAGCAGTGAATGATCCTTCCTCCCCCCAGCCCCAGCAGCCCCAAGTAGAGTGCTAGGCTGGACACATCAAGGCAGAGTTGTGCCCCCTCTGGCAGGGGACTCCTGTCCCTCTAGCTCTCTCAGTGGCACCAGTGACAATACCAATGTCCTCTGATTTGTGGACTTTCTGGAAGGTTCTAAAGCTAATACCTGGGCTCCCCTTCCAGGGCCCAGCACTGAGGGATTGACCAGCCTCTGCTGAGAAAGTCTCTGTGACACCAACCCCAGGGTCTTCAAGGTGGGCTTGGAAGAGAGTCAGGCTGGGGAGTTGGCCTCCTACATGCAGGAGAACCTGGAGGCCGTGCAGCTGGCAAGAAAGCTGGCCCAGCAGGAGACACAGGGTGCAATGGAGCTGGTAAGGGGGCTAGGCAGGGCGGAGGTCATAGGGACCCCCATGCATGGGGCACAGACACCCAGCCAGGGCCTCCCTGACTCCTTTTTGGTCCCCCTGCAGCTCCAAGAAAAGAGCCAGGTCCTGGAAAGATCAGTGGCCAAACTGGCCCAGCAGTTGAAGGACCTGGGTAACCAGTGCCTGGCCCTGAGCTGGAGGCTAGACCCGCAGGAGCAGACACTGGGCTTGAGGCTTTCTGAGGTGAGCGCTGGGACAGCCTGGACGGGCGAGCACTCTGGAAGGATGGCCTGAGGTGGAGGCCCAGCCAGTCCTGGGCCACTGGGCTGCTGTCCCCAGGCCAAGTGACCCCAGCCAGTCCTGGGCTTTCACCTCAGTGACTGTCTTCAGGCCCAGATGGCCCCAGTCTGGGGCCTCCTATTCTAACAAGGGTGGCTCCTGCCATGCCTCTACCCAGCTCCAGCTGCAGAGGCCTCTGAGAGCCTACAGCCACTGCCCGTGGCCTTCAGATAACCCTGGAGGTGGGGGGCATGCAGGGGACAGTGAAGTAGCCTCTGCCCAGGCACTGTTTCCCTTGTCTTTTTTTTTTTGGTACCGGGTATTGAACTCGGAACCTTGTGCTTGCAAGGCAGGTGCCGGAACCACTGAACTAAATCCCTGGCCCTTCCCTTGTCTTTTGGCACAGCTTTATTGAGATGCAATTCACACTGCAGGCAGATCAACCCTGGCAGCTTACCCCCAAGGGAGAGGCTCAGTGGTTTTAGTATAGTCATGCACAGTGCAGCTAGCCCGTTGACCCCTAACCCACTTTGTGTCTCTTTGTGTTCCCTGTTCTGGGACATATCACATCAATGCAGTAATGCCATGTATGACCTTTGGTTTTTGGCCTCTCTCACAGGGCATGATGTCCATATGGTCCCCCTGCTACAGCATGGAACCCTGTCTCATTTCCTTGATGGCTGTACAACATTCCCTCATATGGATAGGCCACATTTTGTTACCCACTTGTTTGTTGATAGACAGAGAGGCTGTTTCTCTTTTTTAGCTATTGTGACTAGTGCTGTCATGATCAAGTGTCACCCTTTGGTCTGGAGACTGGATCCCTGGCCACCCCTGCCGCCCTTCAGAGCATAAGTGTGATCAGAACACCTTCCAGTGGGGCCCTTGACCCTAGTCTCTGTGCTTCTTCTGCAGCCCTCCTTCTGTCCCTGTCCCTGTCAGCTCTTGGTTGGCAACAGCTGGCCTTCTTGGGGTGTGGCTATGCTCAGCCTGGTGGCCCTGTGTGGGAGAATCCAAGGCTGTCTTGCCCCTGTCTGATGTGTCTATTCCCCAAGATCCCTGACCAGGCCATCCTGGGCTGTGTGGGTCTGTGCACCAATGTGCTCAAAATCAGAGGTGGACATGGAGTACTGCCCTCAGGTAACACACCACCCCACCTCTCATTGCCTTCTTGTGGCTGGGCTCTAGTTAGCCTCATCCATCTGTCTGTCTATCCTCCTCTTCTGGGCTCCTACTTCACCGGATGTCTAAATCCCAGGCAAAGACTGAGTGGGAAGGTGTAGAGCGGAAGTCCTTCGAGGACTTGGCCCGATGTCAGAAGGAGATTGCAGCCCACTTGCAGGAGGTGCGAGACAAGGTAGACTGCCTCCCCCAGCAGGTGGGTGAAGGCTGGAGGCAGGGGCTTTGGGTGGGTGCAACTAACCTCAAAGATAGAGATCTTCCCTCTCTTCTCTCCCAGTGCTGCCTTTGCTGGCCCTGAACTGGCCTGGAGCTCTGCCAGCTGGCTGTACTCCACATTTCAGATGGAAGGTGTCTAAGATAAGTGCGTCCTTCACAAGAATGATGCAGACCTGAAGATCTTGGCAGAGGGCAAGGCCAGGTAAGGGTATCAGCTGGCCCCCAGAGCTCCTGAGAGAAAGTCAGGAGCTCCACTGACTATCCCTGGGCTGCACTGGTCCCTACAGTGCTCCCCAAGTCCCTGGGTGCTGTGGCAGCTCCATCCCCTCCCTAGGTCATCAGCCCCACTCTGGGCTCCCTGTGGTGCAGCCTGCATGGTCCCTCAAACTCCCCTTCTGCCACTCACTGAGGACCTCACTGTGGCCCGAGCCTCCTCCCTGTTGGCCTTGCCCAGTACCATTGCCAACTTTCCATGCCCACAGAGAATTAGAGGTCAGAGCTGTGCAGCAGGAGCTGGCCACTGTGCTGTCATCTGTGCAACTGCTCAAGCAGGACAACCCCGGGCGGAAGATTGCAGAGATCCAGGGAAAGCTGGCCACGGTACCCTTGGGCCCAGGGAAACTGCTGTGCCTACCACCTCCCTGAGTTCTGAGTTGCTCAGTGATACTGGGTTGGGGACTCCTCAAGGCAGCTGGAAACTAGCAGGCAGCCCCAATCTATGTTGTAAATGGGACTATATTTAGTTTCAGAAGCAAATGATAAAGTTAGAAAACAACATCCAGGCCAACAAGACCATCCAGAACCTGAAGTTTAATACAGAGACCAAGCTGGTGAGATGGAACCCACAGCCCTGACCCTATCCTGCCCCAGCCTAGCTAAGTCTCCAGCTCTACAGTTTCCCAGGGAGTCCAGAGGAGCCTACAAGCTGATTGTCTGTGTCTGGCTGTTCCCTGAAGATAAGGATGAGATAAGCCCCTGTTTGCCATCTTCTCTCCCCCACCCTGCCCTGTGGTCAACTCCCACGTTCCAGCAGCCGTCCCATCTCCGCCTGGCACCCCTGTGTACATCCTGCAGCGTTCGGAGGAGATAGCCACCCTGCGGGAGAGCGTGCTGCACCTGTGGAGTGAGGAGGGCCCATGGCCACTAACACTGGGCAGCAAGCGGGTGTTCATGTCCCTGGTGAGGCAGCAGTTTTTCATCAAGGATGTGGCCCCTGGCGAGCAAGTTCCCATGAAATGTTGGGGCGTCTATCAAGCTGTGAAGTGGGTGGCAAGAACTTGACAGCCTCTTCCCAGGAGAGGGGTTTCCGGAGGGCAGTGGCCAGCCACAGGGAGGTTGGTGGAAGGGGGCCTTAGCCCTGAGTGGTGTCTCTGGCATGTGGCTTCAGTGGAAGGCCATCCTCTTGAATCGCATGGCTCAGCAGAGGCCAGAAGCAGTGTCAGAGACCTTCCATGGGGATCCTCTAGCTCAGCTCACACCTGTGTGCCTTCCCCAGAAATAAATGTGATAGTTCTTGTATCTGTGGGAGCCATAGTCCCCTGGTGCCTGCTGATGATATCCTCTCCAGGAGCCTGTGGGACTGACTGGGAAGGAGCAGTGGGAGGGAACAAGGCCAAAAGGCTTAGTCCCTCATAGTCCAGGCTCCTTCCTGTCCTTTGTAGCCCAGCACCTGGCCCCATCACTTTCCATGGTGGTCTGGGTGCCCCATTGCCCCAGGAAGAAGGGGCTTCATCTGACTTGTCACAGAAGACCTGGGCCTGCCCCTGCCAGGATGCACCTAAGCCACTGGCAGGGATATGGGGAGGAAGGACACCTAGAAGGTGCATGCCTGAGGCCAGGGCCCCTTAGGTTGGTCCCCAGCCTAGCAGCCATCACCTGATGCAGTGCCAGTAGAAGCCGCTTCTTGGCACTAACCTGGGGGGTAAACAGCTATGTTTACTCACATAATCAGGCAATGCCTCCTCTTCCTGCCTCTCCAGGAAAGCCTAGTTTATCCCACAGTCTGTGGCCCTGCCACTTGCCCAGGGACCTCGGGCTTGGGCCCCATGGTGTGTGGGGCAATGGCGAAGACTGGCCTGGTACGGGCCCCTTCCTGGTAGCCCCTTGCCAGTGATGTAAATCTTAGGGTGGACTGGCCTGGCAGGGTATAAGCCTCTTTGAAAGGGGGTACAAGTATGTAGGCCCATGGCCTCAGGGAGCTTCACTTTCTGCCTGTGTCCCCTGTTCCTGTGGGCACAACTCAGGACCTTGTACAGTGGGAGGATCTGGGGCCAAGGGCTGAGGCCTGGGTCTGGATGACCCCACTGTTCCTGGCTTCTTGCTGGGCCCTGGTGGTTGCAGCTCCTGACCGCAGCAAAAGCCCAGGCCCTGCCCCTGGGCCTAGAGAGGCCTCGCTTGAGCTGGGAAGCCATCTCTGAGGCTGCCTGGAGGGAGAGGGTCTTAGGGAACAGGAAGGAGAGTCTTGGCAACCCTTGAAGCTCCCAGTGCTCTCCTGACCCTTGCCCATTTGCTAGGCCTCAGCCAGCTGTGGCCCCTCCAGGGGCTGGGTGCCTCCACCTTGCAGCTCAGGGCCAACCTCAGCTGACCAGCTGGCTAGCAGGTCGCTGAAGTCTGGTGTACCTGGGTGGAGCAAGCCCAGGGCACTGGGTGCTGGCTCCCTCCAGAAGGATGGGGGTAGCTTCCTTTGGGTCATAGGTGTGATGTGGCCATATTTCCGTTCTAGTCTCAGCCTGAGTCCGGCAGATGTACTAGGCCCTGGGAACTGCCGTAGCCCATAGTCAAAGAGCTCAGCCAGGGGTCCCAGCGGTGGCACCCCATCTGCAGGCCTGCATGCTGGCCCATCTAACCCCCAAGATGAGCAGACCCCAGTCTCAGTGGCCTCCTTGTCCTCCGAAGGCCCACCCTGGGCCAGGCGCAGCAGGTCAGCATAGTATAGCTCCCGGGCAGAGAAGCTGGCTGGGCAGCTGTCAGCATAGATATCACAGGAGTCTGGGTCCTGCCCCTTGTCCTTAGGGCCAAAGTACCGCTGGATGTCACCACTGATGAGCTGTGAAAAGCGGAGCAGCTGCAGGGGGGTCTCAGGGATGTCAGGGCCTTCAGGGGGGACTTCTGGGCTCTGCAGAGCTGGGATGCAACTGCTTGGCCCTTCAGCCTCCAGCTCCTGCTCTAACTCCTCCTCTTCTTCTTCCTCCTCCTCCTCCTCCTCCTCCGAAGTTTCTGGGGGCTCTGGTTCAGAGGGGAGGAAGGGCTGATGGGACTGCAGGGGCAGCCGGAAGTCACAGAGTGGCTGGATCACTCCAGTGGCCATCTCCTTGGCGCCCCTGAACTCCTGGGGACTCTGGGGTAGCAAACACAAGCTGAGGGAGGTAGAGGAGCAGGTTAGCAGTTAGGGCTGGCAGCACTTCAGTGAACTCAAGAAGGCTTCCTCCACTCTCCTGAGGATGCTGCTGAGTTCAGGGAGGAGAGGTAGGCAGATGCTGAGGGTAGGCAAGTGGCCAATAGTGTGTGCATTTGAGGGGGCATGCAAGGCACAGGTGTGGGTTTCAGGAATGCGTCTGGTCTCTTACAGGGGCAGCCAGACCCTGTCTTGTAGGGTGGGAAGGGATTTTGCCACTAGAATCATTAAAATTATGGTCACTCAGTCCAGACATAGTAAAGGGGAGAGAGACACTGCGGGGGCCTGGCTTTCCCCAGGCAGGGCTGCCCAGAGAAGCAGAAGGGGGCTGGGCTCCTCCTAGCCTGAGGTTGCTGTGATGTCAAAAGCACCAGCCTGCCAACCACCTTGACCTTGCCTAGAGCCCTTGTGGCTGCTGTTGGGAGCATTGGAGACTATGAAGCTTTCCTGACTCAGCCCATCTCATCTAGCCCCAGGCATGACCCTAGGTTTTAATTTTTTTTTTTTTTTTTTGGTACTGGGGATTGAACTTGGGACCTTGTGCTTGCAAGGCACTTAGGTTTTAATTTAACACAATTTGAGAAGGCATCAAGGCATCTTCATGGGGGAAGGAGTGGACCCAAGGAAAGTAGGTGGGGGGCTGGGAGGTGACTGAGGGGGCAGATATGGCTCTCCTACCATTTAGGTGACGTAGGTTCTGGATCCTGGAGCTTCACCCCAAGGACAGATGCCACCAGGCCCCTCCACAACACAGAAGCAGATGGATAGCCCCTAGTATAAGGGAATAAAGGTGCTAAGCTCATGAAGGGGGCCTGGGAATGAGTGGGTGAGACCTTGGGACAGACCTCAGGGTCAGGAGATTCAGGCACCTGCCATTCCTCTTTCCTGAGGTTGCTAAGTGGTGATGAGGAGGGGAGCCACTTGGAGCCTCCCCACATGGCTGACCATTCTGATCTGACCTCCCATGCTGAGCTGGGAGTCCTGCCATAGGAAGTGTCCAATGGGGACACAGGAGGAGGAGACCCTCTGGGCAAAGACCTGTCACCCCCCAACTCCCAGTGTGTGGTGCTCCCAGCCCACCCCAGGCCCTGCTCCTACCTGGCCAGAGTGTAGCTCTTCGTTCGGCAGGGTGACTTCCACCTGGGCTCAAGCATTTATATCTGGGCTCTGCAGCCACCCCAGGCTGGCAAATATTTGGCGACGGCATTGTCATCACAGACTGGGCAAACACAGCCCGTTTGCTTTAGCACCCAGCAACCAGGGCCTTGCAGGGGGAGTGCCGCACACCAGCCTCACCTGCACACAGTCTGCTGGGGGACCGTGGAGTGTTTGCCTCGGGCCCAGCTGGCCCACACCCTGAACCGGAGGACCCTTATCTCTGCTGCTGATTGGGGCCTGATCCAAGCCTTGTCAAATAGGCGGAAAATTAAATTTCATGCTATTTTGAGTTCTGGAGTAGGCCTCTCTAGAGGACATCCTGCCTCCATGTGTACTATGTATACCGGCTTCCACCAGCAACCATACCCTGAAGAAAGGGAAGGGACAGAAGCCATGGGATCTCTAACAGGGGCCTGAGGATGGACTGATGCAGGTGGACCCTGGAGCCCGTCCAGCCACAGGAGGCCCTTCTGGGAAGCTGTGGTCAGTCTCAACCAGCCCATACAGGACTGTGATGGAGACCCTGCTTGACGGCTGCAGGGGAGTTTTCAGTCTACCTGATTGAACCTACTGCTCCTCTAGGCTTCCCAGGGACTGGGTGGAGGTGGAACCTCCCTTCCCTAATCCCAACCTTTCCTCTGGCTATTGCCTCCCAGGGTGAAGCTGGGGGACTCCAGCTCTTGCTGACTCCCTCAAATCCTCTGGGGCCTCTCAGGCTTTCTGCCATGTGGGGTGTTAGCTTCTAGGGCCACTGTAATCAATGGTCTCAAAGTGGTCTAGGACATAATTCTGGACACCAGAGCCCAAATCAAGGTGTCACCAAGGATGGTTCCTTCCAGAGGTTCCAGGGGGAACCTGTCTGGGCCTCTCTACTCCTGGGGTTCCTGGCAACCTCGGTGTTCCCGATGGTGGCCACTTTACTCCAGTTTCTGCCCTTATCTTTACACAGCCTGTTCATGTGTGTTTTGTCTCCTTTTCTAAGTATTCCCATCATTGGGTATAGGGCCCACATTAACTCACCATGACTTCAGCTTAACTGATAACATTTGCAAAGACCCTGTTTCGAAAAAAGGTCACTTTCAGAGGTTTCCAAGTAGACATGCATTTTCAGTACAGCTACCTTCCATATGGGTCATGGCTCCTACCCCATCATTCATCACATGTGGTCCCACAGGGCACTTTGCTCCCTGCAGCAACCCTACTGCCATTGGCCAGGAGGACTCAGACTCAGACACTGCCTGCTGTAACCCCCATTGCTGCTGGGCTTCATTCCAAGGATAGAAGCTCCTTCCCAGCTTGACTTATGCCCAAGAGCCTCATGACCCTTGCTGTCCCATTTCCAGCTCCTGGATCTTCACCTGTCCAGGGGGCTGGAAGGGTTGTGGGCACCACCCCACCCCTTCTTGGGTCCTTGCCCCTTGTCTCCAGTGCCATCCCCTTCAGGTGGGCGACAGCCACCTCCTACCCTGTGACATTCCAATGCAGTGAGGTCTGGCCCTTGCTGATGGCTGCAGTCATTTCCTGGCACCTGGAAGGCAGTTTTTAGGGACCCCGCAGCCACTCAGTATGTGGGAGCTGGTCAGGGGCCTGGCCCCAAGGATGAGAACCTCCAAATACCACGTCTGATCGGTTGCCCACATCTCAGTATGAGGTCGTGTGCTTGGTGCTTGACCCTGGGGAGTGGTGGGAAGGGCAGGTCAACTTCAGGTCTCTGGGGAAGGCTGCAGGGCAGGGGGAAGGTGACAGCATTGTCATGGTCCATCACCTAGACCTTGTTACTACCTCTTCCCAGGCGGGAAGCCCAGGCTGTGCCCCAGGTGAGGCCACATCCCAGGTGACCCTGTGCCCTAGGTGAGCCATTGTCCTGGGATAAGGTGCATCTGGCCAGGCTCAGTTCTGACTCTCTTGTCTGCCTGGGGACCTCGACCCCACAGACTCAGCATAGGCTTGACCAAGTCCAAGGCTC